CGTTTAATAAAAATGCACTAAAATAAATAATAATTTAAACAAGCAGTACAATTCTGTCTTACCTCCACTTATTTTATGTACGAACAACAAGTGTACAAACAAATCGAAGGATGTGCAATGGGCTCGCCAATCTCAAGTGTTATAGCATAAATGGTACTTGAAGATCTAGAAGACTCAATAATACCAAATCTTAATTAATTTTTCTTGACGACAATATGTTATTACTGCAGTACCAAACGATAAATGCAACTCTATACTAACGTCCTTCAATAGTTATAACCATAAACTTCAATTCATTACCGAGAAAGAGACCGATAACAAAATCAACTTTCTCGATATGACATTACATCACAGGGATAATAAAATTTTAACGGAATGGTATACAAAAAATACATGGTCATTTCCATTCTTACCATCACATATCCCAAAAAAAATCTGTGGTTATTGGCTTGGTAGACAGAGCTTTAATCCTTAGTGATCCTCCATACAGATTAAATGCCTTAAAAAAAATCAAAGAAGCTTTAATGAAGAACATCTATCCGGAAAAATTAATAAATGGGATCATAAAATCTAGGAAAAAAAACTATTAGAAAATCAACAACAAATAAACTCAAATGTTAGTAGCAATTAAAACAAAAAAGACAACGGGTATCTACAGTATGCACCACTCCCCTATATAAGAACAGTGTCTGAGGGATTCCAAAATTTATTCAAAAAAGCAATATTTCCGTATGTCACAAGGGATATAACATTTTAAAAAAGCATTTTAGTCGCCTAAAGAGTAAAATACCGACTAATAAAAAAAACCATATTGTATACCAAATTCCTTGTCAAGACTGCCCAAACGTCTACATTGGTCAACCAGCACAATATCTCCAAAAACTGGTTAAAAGTGTGATATGACGGACATAAGTATGATAAAAAAAAAGAACTGCTCTGACTAAATATGAAAGCACGACAAATCACAAAATGAATTATCAGGAGACCAAAATTTTAGCCACTGAATACAACAAGCATAAGAGAGAATTTTTGGAAATGATCTATATTAAAAAAGAACCTGAATCTATGAATGATAGAACTGACATAAAAAACTTGAATCAAGTGTATTTTAGTCTGTTAAACTAATTGTTAATTGTGATCCTCCTGTTTAAAAATTCAATTTATTGACCAACGAAATATAAATTAGGTTTAGTACGATTTCAGCCGTAGTCAATATACATAGATAGTTTTAGTGTTACGAATAATAATTTTAAAAAATATGTGGTCATCTTTTGACAAGTTTATATTAATTTATTAATTGTAGTAAACATTATGTTGTGTGTGTTTGTGAATTTTTTGGTATGTAATTTTTGGATTATGTTCGACACTCTTTTTTTTTATCTCCTGTAATATTTTTTCAATAATAAAAGTGTTTCAGACGTGTAAAAGAGCTATTTTTTATTGAATGGCTGCTTCTCGCATCCAAAACACCATATATTTTTGTCAACTACCAGCCTAACTAGACTCATTATTATTATAATCACCTTTCAATTTCTTCATCTTTATGTTTATATTTCTAACTACTTCATTTCTGGTCTTCGACGCATATTTCTTTGAGGTGTCCATTTCTATATTTCCTCGTTTCCCCCTTTTTTATTCATACGACGATGGTAGGTAGTTTTACTATTTCCATACTTTTTCGTATATTGTCTCCAAAATAGTGTCTATAGTTATTCTCTTTCACTCATTTCTTCATTAATTTTCACATTTCTATTGTAGCAAAAAAAGTTAAAGTACGCCATCTTATCCAATATTTACTCAAAATCATCTGATGACATCTCTAGTCAAAATGTTTAAAAACTATTAATTTAAAAAATAAATATATGAAAATAGGTATTTAGCCATATACAGTTAAGTTCTATTTCTCCAATTTTACACTCCAAGCCTCCTAGTCTTGGGGACCCTATAAAAGATCTCTTTCCATGGCTAGTATGGGGCCTTCATTCCACGATGGTCTGGGTCTTCTACGTTTTTTTCTTTCTGGAGACGTCCATTGGAGCTTATTTTTAAGCAACCTATGGTAAAGCATTTCTAATAAGTGTCCGAACCGTTCTAAATGGATGGCACAAAAGGATTTATAGCTATAACCACAAAAGACAGAGGCGGTAATCCTAACCACCAAACGAAAACTGGCACCAATTCTTTTTGATGTTGAGGGAACATTGATCGTACCTAAGAATGCTGTAAAATACCCCGGAGTCTGGTTAGATAGTAAAACAACATTCTGTGAACGTGTTACCCAAACAATCACTAAAGCGGAAAATCTCTAGCAGCGCTATCAAATCTAATGCCGAACATAGGGGGGCCGTAGGTCATCAAAGCGTAGAATTCTTGTAAGCGTAATACATTCACAATTGTTATATGCTGCTCCGCTATGGTGTAAGGCAATGGACAAAATAAAAACAAAGCGAAAGATAACAGCTCTGCAGCGTAAATTATGTATTAGAGTGAGAAGAACTGTATGTACTGAGGCAGTTGGTGTCATTGCGGGCATCCCTCCTATCCACTTATTAGCTCATGAACAGGCGGATAGATACAAGCTGGGAGAGCTCAAACAAATAGTCAGGAAAACTGTGATGGAGAAGTGGCAGGATCAGTGGGATAAAGAAAAATATGGAAGATGGACCTGGAGACTTATACCCAACATTAAAAAAAATGGATTGACAGACCATATGGTGAAGTGGGATACCACCTGAAAGGAATGCTGTCTGGACACGGGTGCTTTCGAAAAAAGTAAGATGTGGAATAGACGATGATGAACACGTATTCTATTGTTCCAGATGGAAGGATGAGAGAGATATAGTTTTAAGAAGGAGAATTCAATTTGAAAACTTACAATTTATCAAATCAGTGAGATAAAGAACATTCAACTTATGGAATTGCTTACAAAATAGAATGCATATATCCAGACCCTACAGAGCAGTACGTGCGAAAATTCCTTATTGTTTCTCGATGAAGTTGGTCGTTTATAAATAATTTATAGGCCAAAACCTCCGACTAGGAAACTTGGCTGCTGCATGAGCGGTATTTATTAAAAATATATCCCGAAAAATAACTATTTGCACGTCGCCCGCCAGAGAGAACATGGAATTTGAGTTGGAATTTGATTATTTATATTTCGCTTTTCTATTCCCAGACGCCTATTTGTAGGTGGATTGTTTTTTTAGTTGAATTAAAAAATTATGCTTTCCTTCTAAACAAGCGTTTTAATGATTTCAAACAATAATGATTTAAGTATATAAGAAAAATAAATTGAAATTAAAAAATCAGCTAAATAATTTTTGCTGTTTTTTATTTAGTTTTGTAAAATAGTATTCAATTATTTTATTTTTTAAAATACAATTTAGGAAAAATACTACAATCTTCTAAATATTTATATTTTGGATTCTGTTTAACTTGCTAGTTTGCTTTTAACTTGCTTAAACCTTATTACAATTTTACCAACTTTAGGTTTTCAATATTCATACTACTTATTTAGCCTTAACAAACTAGATAACCATACATACTAAGACCATTGTATTTATCAAAAATGAATTTGGTGCATGTTGTATATTGGTGTGATAAAAAAGACGAAAAATATGGAAGAACATCTGCCTATGATAATCAATGAAATCCCTCATAAAAATCCTCCATGGCTAATACCTGAAACTGAAATAAGATTAGACCTGAATATCCTCAAACGTAATCTGAACGCAAGTTAAGCTGAAATATACCAACGACAGTTCGAGGAAATATTATATCAATCAATAAAAAATTGTCATTTACATTGATGGGTTCAAAACACTTTACAATGATACAAAAATACAAACTGATGCTGGATGTGCAAATATTATCAACGGGTCAGCTTTCCAATTGACTTTGGGACATGAAGTAACAGCTTTAATCACAGAACATTTTGCTATCTTGTCTTATCCTATGTGATTATATTCCAAAAGGGAATCCAAATAGCAAAATCTTCTACGAAGAAAGCTTTGTTGGAAGAATACAATCAAACTAGAGTAATAATTGTCTCTGACTTTTTAGATATCATGTCTAGACTTAATGGCATATTTGTCCAAGATCTTTTGAAACGAAAAATTCAGACTCTTATTCGAAAGTGCACTGAAAACTGAAATAAACTCACGTTTGTATGGGTCCTAAGCCTCACTAATATCCTTCGCAACACAATGGCAGATGAAGCTGTTCAGCAGGCTGTTAAAAAGATACCACTGACATCCCTTATATTAGTAAATATTATCTTAAAGAACTACTACATAAACGAACAAAAGGGGAATGGCACGATGAGTGGACAAATGAACCTTCGAAGCTTCGCGCAATAAAACAAGAATCCAGAGTGCATCGTCTTCGTACTGAGCATACTAATGTGACACATCCATATTTGCTTAAAAAAATCTTCCAATGTGATGTTGAGTTGACACTAACCAACATTATATGTGAATGTTCTCAATATACGGTAGAATCGAGTAGATTAAAAATACGTGGTGAAATTCGTCTCAGGTCTACAGTTCCTAGATCTTGTATAGTTTTCCAAAATTTTTGCATGTTAGTTCCTTTGAAACCTGAAATATCTAATTCAACTAAATATGTTTTTTACACCTTCGTATCAAGATTTGTGGAAAACAGGTTCAGCAAAGACCAAAACGCCCTTGTTTTTTTTGCCAGATCCAGTCTTGATCTTATTTTTGAATTTATATTGAATCAGCATTGCTTCCTTTAAAAGTTTATGCCATAGCCAAGAAAACACTATTTGCAATAAATTACAATAAACATTTGGAACCAATAAGTAACTTTTTATATCATATTTATTTATGTGAATTTCTCAATTCACTGGTTCAATTTGTTCTGTGTTGAACATGGCACGATAATAAGTTTAATATTGCATAATATAAAGAATAAAAAATAATGCAAGAATAGACTCTACATATACTCATATTATTGAAAATATTTACCAGGAAGCAACAATGCATATTAGATTAGATGCAACAACTGCGACCAACAGAATAGTATTGGAGAGAGGTGTGAAACAGGGAGACACCATACCACCTAAACTGTGTACTCTAGCACAAGAAGAGGTATTCAAAAATCTGGAATGGGACACCAAAGGCATTAGCGTAGATGGTATCAGACTAAACCACCTCAGATTTGCAGATAATATAGTTCTAATTGGTAAAAACATCACAGAACTAGATGAAATGTTAAATGAATTACATCTATTAGCTGCAAAGATAGAACTGAACATAAACTTTAATAAAACAAAAGTACTGTTAATAAAACAAGAGTTCCGAAGATACCAACATATATACAGTGTGTCACTTTTAAAACTTCCCACCCTTAATATCTTTCTTGCAGTTAAAAGTATGAAAAATCGGAAAGACACGTCAATTTTATTTGTAAGGGGGACACTTTAAATTAATATTTTTAGCCTTTTTCTTTTAACCACCTAGGAAGGGGAGATGTCACCCTTACAATCATAAATGGGAATGGGGGTCAAGTGGCACATCGTTTTAAAGGGCGTTTAATTATCTTTTCAGTGGTATCCTACTTTGTTGCTTTTTGTCGAGTGGTTACCGAATAATCACGTTTCAAAGTTGCAGAAACAATTAAACATGCCTGCATTGAGATTTTGGTTTTCAGTCTACTGTTTACACAAAAATTATTGCAATGGATCTCCTTATAGTACAAAAGATTAGAAGATCGCATTACACCACTTACGCCCTATCGTATAAGTTGATCAGAATGTTGTCCATTTTCCTGTTAACAATAATAAAGTGTGTTTTCAAACTCCTTCCTAATATTTCGGAAAACTTCACCGGGAATTGACCGGCATTCTGCTGTAATTCGCCTTTTAAGATCATCAATATCAGTAGGTTGTGTTCTATAAACAATGGATTTAAGATGTCCCCAAAGAAAGAAATCTAAGGGTGTTAATCCGCTGATCTTGGAAGCCATTCAATTAGTCCCCTTCTGCCAGCCCAGGTACCCGGAAATCTCTCGTTTAACCACTGTCGGATCGGAAGAAAATAATGAGGTGGAGCCACTGTCCTGCTGGAATGTTAACAAATCCTCCTGTATAACTGATTAGAGGTTGCCACTCATTCGAATTTAAGAAAATAAACGTTAATGTTCATGACGTTTTCTGTTTATTAGTATTTCGACCCCCCTAGAAAAATATAATTGCTACGTCCATGTTTCCACCTAATCTTCTAATTATTTGTACTACAAGGAGACCCATTGCAATATTTTATATAAACACTAGCCTGCAAACCATAATCTCAATGCAGGCATGTTTAATTGTTTCTGCAAGTTTCAAACGCGATTATTCGGAAACCTCTGGACAAAAAGCAACAAAGTAGGATACCACTGAAAAGAGAATTAAACGTCCTTTAAAACGATGTGCCACTTGACCCCCATTCCTATTTAAAATTGTAAGGGTGACATCTACCTCTCCTAGGGGGTTAAAAGAAAAAGGCTAAAAATATTAATTTAGAGTGTCCCCCTTACAAATAAAATTGACGTGTCTTTCCGATTTTTCATATTTTTAACTGCAAGAAAGATATTAAGGGTGGGAAGTTTTAAAATTGACATATATATATACAAAGTAATATGATCGAATATTTAAGAGAATATATATATATATATATATATATATATATATATATATTTAGGCCACAATATTACACTTGGAAAAGAAAACCAACACGCTGAAATTACAAGGCGTATACGATTAGCATGGATAGCTTTCGGTAAACTGGGACATATTCTGAAAATCAATACGATCCCTATCAATCTGAAGCGAAAATTAATACCTATATTTTGTGTGTTTCAAAATAATTTGCAAATAAACTCTTAACAACTCAAAGAGCTATGGAACGATGTATGCAAGGGGTTTGTCTGCGAGACAAATTTCGTAATGAAAACATCAGGAGTAAAACAAGAGTTACCGATATAATTCAGGAAGTGGGTAAAATGAAATGGCAATGGGCTGGCTATGTTGCTAGAGTGGATAAAGACAGAGAAGTGGTTAAATACAGCACAAAAGAGGGAGACATGGAAAAGGATGAGAGAGACCTATATCCAGGAGTAGATGAATCCGATGTAAAATTTGAAGATTGGTGTAAAGCGAAAGAAATCAAGAATAGTAGTAACGAAAAGGTTCTCGTGGCATATTTTGAACATCTTTCAAAACACAGGAAGGCTTCATCATTTTGGGTATATTATTCCATGCTACATTCAGTTATGTCAGTGAAGAAAATTACAGATATTAGTAAGTACGTCCATTTAATTGCATTTCTAAAAAGAAAATCGGAAGGATTTCGGTCAAAAAAATCGAGAATTTTAAGAAAAGAAGACATAACTCGTTTTTTGTTGGAAGCCGATGAAAAAACTTATTTCCTGACAAAAGTTTCATTGATAGTGGGTCTTGCGGGAGCCTGTCGGCGTATCGAGTTGACAAATCTGCAGCTGCAAAATATTAAAGATGAAGGACAATGCATTTATGTCATTATTCCATTTACGAAAACAAAGATATCACGACATTTTATTATAACGAAAGGGAATGTTGCAGCCCAGTAACACAGAGCATACTCGATTTTTTGTGGGGTACAGAAATGGAAAATGTATTAAGAAACCCGTTGGCATTAATAATTTAGGGAAAATACCGTATAAAATAGCAGTGTTCCTAAGTCTTCCAAATCCACAACAATACACTGGACATTGTTTCCGTAGATCGTCTGCGTCGTTGCTTGCAGATTCAGGAGTGGATTTATTAACTGTTAAAAGACATGGTGGTTGGCGCTCTAACACAGTGGCAGGGAGCTATATAGAAAATTCCAAAGAAAATAAGTAAAAAGTGTCATGTAATATTTTGGGTAACATTTCTGGCAATGGTGGGTCTTCAACAAGTTCAAGCACTCAGGAAATAAATTTACTTTCTAAAAATTCAACTCACCTGTCATCATCTGGAATTAGTTTAACCAATTGTACTGATATTATAATTAATGTTTATAATAAATAAACGTATTTAGGTACCTTTTTTTGCTTGTTTCTTATTTTAAAATTTGCGTGTTATTATGAATTCATAATAGCACTAGTGCTATTATAAAAGCCATAATGACATCCAAATGACAATGTTAAATGTGTCATAATAACATTGTCGTAGATTAAAATATTAATAGAATTATTTCCAATTTTCGATAAACCAGAATATGAATAAACCAGATAAACCAGGATATTTGAAATTTGAAATAAAAAATATAATTTTAGTATCAATAATCGACTTCCTCCTTTATCCATTTAATAGTAATAAGTCATACTATTTATATTTTCTTAAAAAAAATATAAAATTAAAAGTGATAATCATTATAATTTGCCGTTTTATATCCCAGCCACATCTCACCTACGGAATAACTGCAAATAGAACATCAAAAACTAACGATTGAGTCATTATACTGTGATTACGTAACGAGTTAACAAGTAGTTGTTGTGTAGTTTAAAAGTGGATTGAACTTGAGACAAAAAAAACTAGAATTGCGGTGTCATTCTAGGAAAGTTAGCAGTGCCAATACAACTTTAAAGAGCTGTCACTTATTATATATTATTTAATTTCTGTTTTTTTGTTAACGTTGTTGTTTTACATAAATATTAGATATTTTACAGTGCATTAGATAATTTCATTTTTAATAAAATTGGAATATTTGACATATAGAAAAAAAAAATACAGGTAAATTGTATTACAAAAATAATTGAAAACTAGTACAATCTAATTATTAAGATCGCAATAACTTATGCGTAAGAATTGACTAACAAATGATTAACAGAAATTAGCTACAGGGTTATTGAACTGAAAGCAATAAAATATAGAAAAATAAAGTATATGAAAAATGTTCTTTGGTACCGTCTCGTATCTTAACCAGTCTTAACATTGAATATACAGAGTTGTTCACGACATACGACACGGAGTATTGTAGCTAAACGATTAGATTTTTACAAATTGTAAGTTTTGGGTTCGTTGAAGGACTATTAGAGCTACAATTTAAAAATATTTTTACAAGATACAGAGTGTCCCAAATAAATAAAAAATATCAAAGTATTGTTTTAAACGGAACACCCTGTATATTATTACATTTTTAGTTTCTACGATTAAAATAAAGGTAAATTTGATAAAGATTTATTACACTTAAACCTTACCGTTTTTGAAATATTTTCTCCAAGGGTATCAAAGTTTTTAATACTAAATATTTACTGAAGTTTATTTATTGATTTATTGTGTTGCAATAATAAAAATTATACTACCTTATACAGAGTGTCTAAAATTTTATTTTAAATAATTACTAGCTTTAAACGGCAATAACTTGTTTAATTTAAATGGAACGCCCTGTATATTTTAGGAGAATCAGATGCACAATTTAATTGTCTATACCAAATAGTATTATACCATTTTTTACCTATAGCTTCAAGTTTCCGTAGAAAATGCATTTTCTTGTAATTTTAAATTCATTTATCAATATACCCATGGAATACTGACATTTTAGATTATTTTTAAAGATGTACCAAATTTTAAAAGGGTACAGATACTAATATTGTCGATATAGTTTGTTTATTTCATTAAAAAATTAAAAAAACTATTTAAATATTTGTTAAAGAGGACCAATTAATATGATTCTAGTATTCAAACTACATTAATTGACTGTTTGCGTTGATTAATAATAATTGCTCCAAAAACTAAAAAACTGAATGTTTTATGTGTACTAGACAGTGTGGTAAAAAGTAAGACCTTAAAAATGATATTTAATTTTTTGACAAATGCTTATTTGTAACAATAGAGACATTCATTTTTATAACTTATTATTATACTGATTTCTGATTCAAATCCGCATTTATTTAGAATAATTTATTCACGAACATAATTAAGTGTGTAATTAATTAGTATTTGGGCAGAAATAATGGTGGTATATTTAATTAATGGAATACTATTATATGAAGATTTAAATAGTTTTCTTTTTGCAGACAAATGGGCTAGTAATATTATCATTTTATTAAAAACGATAATACCTATTACTAGCCTGTACATTTTGTACATTTGTTGCTTTAAAAACAATCTAAAATGTCAATATTCCATGGGTATATTGATAAATGAGGTCTAAATTATAAGAAAATGCATTTTCTACGAAAACTTGAAGGGATAGGTAAAAACTGGTATAATACAATTTGATAGACAATTAAATTATGCATCTGATTCTCCTAAAATATACAGGGCCTTTCATTTAAATTAAACAAGTTATTGCCGTTTAAAGCTAGTAATTATTTAAAATAAAATTTTAGACACTCTGTATAAGGTAGTATAATTTTTATCATTGCAGCACAATAACTGATCAATAAATAAACTTCAGTAAATATTTAGTATTAAAAACTTTGATACCCTTGGAGAAATGAAGCCTTAAAATTTTACTGCAATTTCACAAAATTGAAGATATTTCAAAAACGGTAAGGTTTAAGTGTGATAAACCTTAATAAAGTTTACCTTTATTTCAATCGTAGAATCTAGAAATACAATAGTATACAGGGTGTTCCATTTAAAAAAATACAACTGTAGCGTTTTTTACTTATTTGGAACACTCTGTATCTTGTAAAATTATTTCTAAATTGTAGCTCTAATAGTCCTTCAACGAACCCAAAACTTAAAATTTGTAAAAACGTAATCGTTTAGCTACAATAGTCCGTGTCGTATGTGGTGAACAACCCTGTATAAAACAGTGGATAAAATAATTTCTGCTGTTAATTTTGTACTTAGAAAAAAATTTAATTCTTTTGAAATAAATAAATTTCAATTTTTGTATAATATAGTGTACTAAGTTCATGTTTACTAAACTATTGGTACTTTTTTTAGGTAATGAAATAGTTTTGCAATAATTTCGTTTGTTACCAGTTATATAGGTTCATATACTTTTATCGTGACTTAAAATAAGCTTAAAACGAAACATTCCAAATTACTGAAATAAACGAAATTTAGATTATGAGTGATATTATTAGAATAAATAATTACTGGCTACTGTCATTACTCGCTGAAAAATATTTGACACGCATTAGAAGATGGTTACGCAATGCGTTTTCTTTAATGAGCTTTTCTGTGGCTGAAAAGCCCGATATGTAATGTTATCTCTCTTCCGCACTCTGGACATTTAAAAATCTGATTACTTTGTTGCCTCTTTACTTTTTTGGTTGTTACTCTATTCCTGTATTTGTTAGAAAGGGATCGCTCAGTGATCCATGATGGTGACACTCTTGACTTTGTTGTTATGGAGGCTTTTACACACTGTAAATAATTTGTTGGGTACTCCGAAATTTTTCATAACTGCCCAAAGCGCATCTCTGTTTACAGATTCGAAGGCTTTTGTTAAGCCGATGAATGCAACATAAAGTTTACACTGCTGCTCTTTTACGTTTTCCTGTAGTTGGCAAACGGAGAATATGGAATCGAAGGTGCTGCGGTTGGTGCGAAAACCCGTTTACGATTCTGGGAGATGGATGCAGGTGGTTCGACATAACGACAATAGTAGACTTCCCCGGTAGTTTCCGCAGTCTGGTGCACTTCCGTTTTTCTTAAATATATTCACTATATTCGCGTTGCAAAAAGCCTTGAGGTACCTCTCCGCTTTCACATATGACATCGAAGAGAGCCTTAAAATGACCAATAAGTTCTTTATTTGCACACTTATAGATTTTCGCAGGAATCGCGTCACAGCCAGCTGATTTGTTATTTTTAAGCTGTTTTATGGAGGCCTTTATTTCCTGTTCTGCTATTGGGATATCTAATATATCAAGGCTGTTATACTGAGGTATTTTGTTTAGCGCTTCCTATTGGGGTTGTTTTCTTCGTTAAGGATATGGCTGTAATGCTCTTTCCAGTGATTTCTGATTTGCTCTTCGTCTTTTAGAAGTTCACCGTTTTGTGCCGTGATTGGGCCGCTTACATTATGTGCTAGGCCGTATACTTCTTTTACAGCCACGAAGAATTTACGACAGTCGTGATACACGGCGTACTCTTGAATCTGATTAGCTTTTTGCGACCACCGACCTATTCTTTAGTTGGCGCAGGTTCCTTCGAAGCATGTTGTTAGCTGGTGTAAATTGGCCAGCCTCCGATTCTGTGGATTTGCAGTCACTGCTTCATGTGCTCTATGCTTTTCTTTCAAAAAAGCCTCTATATGCGGTTGATTTTCGTTAAACCAGTCTGGTTGTTTCTTTTAATTTGTGTTTTCCAGTACTGTTTTGCTGGTTTTATAAATCGCATCCCTTAATAGTGTGCAGCCTTCTTCAGCTTCCGATATTGAGTTTATCTATGAAAGTTACTCTTCGATGGTTAAACTACTAAAGTTACTATCGTTGTTCTCTAGACTCCGTACGCTTAAACTGGCCATGTTGTTTTGCTTTTTACAGTGTGGATGTTTGGGTTTTAAATGGATTTGCATTTTTAAAATTAAAAGTCGGTGATCAGTATCACATTCCGCATCTATTCTGGCTTTTGTAAGTCTGACATGTTTTAGATGCAAGAATAATTCGGATATTTTTTTACAGAAGTAGACAAATACTTAAATTTTATCTTTTTAACTATAGGGAATCATATCTTACAAAAAATTAATAATATGCACATACGAATATAATTTAGATACGAATATAAAATATATACACATAGACAGGACGATTCAATATTACATGGAGAATGTAGAATGTTTAGGAGGGGAGTTAATCACAGCGGCCTTATATTATGTGTGTACTATACTATTGTGTGTTCCCCTTTCTTGAGTCATAACGAGTTATAACTCATCATACAGTCTCAGGGCTTTAACAAAAGTCAGTATCTGAGACGGCTCCACAGAGGCCAGCTCTCCATCCTCGACATCAGACGTACCAAGGTTCATGGCACGAATGGTCGTCGTCTCGGCGCACTCAGTGCTAAGGTGTTCTGGTGTTTCCCCATTTTCTCCACAAAATCTGCATTCGCCGTTGTTTCTCAGTTTCAGCCTACTGAGGTGTTCGTTGAGGAGACAGTGTCCTGTTAGAAACCCCGTGACAATCCGAAGATTGTTTTTACTTAAATCAGGAAAACCTTTGATTTTTCTCGGTCATAAGTTCTGGAAGTTAAGAGGAACTTTTTCGAGTGTCTTAGACCGTTGGAGGACACCCATTCCAAGTTACAGATGGAGTCTTCCAGATTCATCAGTTCCGCTTTCAGTTGGTTCCCGTTTGGAAAACAGAACGGTTCTGGTCCAGTTAGTGGAGTGTTCGCTCCTTTTCTAGCTAGATCATTTGCTTTTTCATTGCCTTCTATCCCTTTGTGAGCAGGCACCCAGAGTAGGAGGACTTTATTTATTTCTATTACATGGAGAAACTTGAACAATTACATTGTGTGAACAATAAAATTGCCTGTAACAAAACAAATCAAAATTATAATTATTAAATTATTAAAAAACTGTTATAAATAAAAAAAACTATTTTAATTGAAATATATTGTTTCAGTGTTAGAAAATCAAAATTATTAAAAGTTACATATTGTATTTATTTATCAGGGTTACGGTAATGTCCAAAGGTTAAAAACAGTGTTACCTGTTAAGTCAATGAACCCAATAGAATAAAACTCGTACCTATAATAACAGGTACTATCAATCAATACCTAAAAGCAAAAAATCTCAAAGGAATGACAAGCTTCTTCGATGCCCGAATTTGAGAGTTGTAAATCCCATTATCGGTTACCATCGCTGTACAAAAAAATAGTTAGAAAACAATAACTTCCCATTAAAAAAAATCGCTCCTTGCTATAGTGTAAAATTAAATATAACTATTTAGTTGAACGACCAATATAAAGTCACTGAACTCTGAAACGTACATCACACGACCAATAATCGCAATCCGACTATAGAACTAGCAATCAACAACGCGAAGAAAAATAATATAAGCAAATGACAAGCACCATCAGGTTTTTTTTCTGTTTAAGAACATATTAGCCGTATTAATCTAATAAGTAACTGGAATCTTCTTAGTTTCTCCACTTAGCTGTTTTTTTCTCCATTATGGAATATTGAAAAATTATTTAATTTAAAAATATTTAAAAACTGTATTGTGCATTTTTATATACTAAAATTATTTAAATAAACATATTTAGGCTTTGAATGAATATGTAAAACGTTTATCTCAAAAAAAGTTGCTTACATTAATGGTTTATATGAAGTTTTATTTCTAAATGTCGGCAAGATTTAAACTTAATGCCGCTAGAACAAAATTAATCATTTTGAAAACGTTCATTACAAACTTTGAATAAGAAGACTAAGGAAGGAGCATAATGCTATCAATGTATTCATGCATGGTGGGAGCAAAAAGGACTCTAGGGTGGGGATCCTTGACAGTTCTGTTTGACAATTCATTTGACTCATTTGAATTTGATTTGAAATTTTGTGGATTTGTCAGTCTTTACGGAACTTATTTTATGTTATTTATTATTTATTCTACTACTGATAGTTGTATAAAGGTAGTAAATCTAGATGGAAATTGTGACAGAACTTAAATTAACAGTGACACTATCGCGATTTATCGAAAAAGAGTCTAAAATAGTTGGTTGTGTAGCGTGCGGTAGATCTCAGCAAAAATCGAGTGAAATAATGGAACAACTTTTCGCTAGTAAGTGACTATATAATATACATACTACGTGTAGTAAACCGAAAAATTATCTATTTTTATTATAATAATATGTTTTTTTAACAATTGTAATAACTACCAACATTTATTCACAACGTAAAATAAAAAAAACAAATTAATGGGTCTACCCCACGTCTACAATACATCATAGTTTTAGATTTTTTAAATTAAATTAGAACGGCACTGATAAACCGGAATTTAAGTCGGCCATATTTGCGTACCATCGCGGTGGACCTAAGATTTTTGATATGCTCCTTCCTTATGTCTTTTTATTCAAAGATTACACACATTTTTGGAATGGTCTGAACATATACAGGGTGGCGCATGGCGCCTCTCATACGCCGCGGAGGCTCCAAGGAGAACGACAGTTTGTATTGAAATGAAATTTTGTGAGTATATGTAGGTTAATTCAGAGCACTTTTTAAAAATATAGAGAGTTCTATAGGGTGTCCCAAAGAAGTTGCATATCAAAGTTGTGTTTTTTGTAATGGAACACCCTATATATTAATTGATTTTCGGATTCTGGGAGAAAAATAAAGGTAAGTTTTATAAGAGAAGTATATAACTAAAAGGTAAGGTTTTTGACATATTTAACATTATTCATTATTAACATTCGTATCGGTATAACTTAAATAATCCACCGCACCGTAGCTAATTAACGTAACTACAAAATCAGATATCCACTAATACAGGTTAAACTAGTAGTTTAAGCTACACTCACCGGTATGAAAAAAGGGCTCCTTAAAATTTTCATGTATTTTAAAGTTTTATACAGGGTGCTACAAATTCGAGGTACGAGCATTGGTATCTCGGTACCGTAATAGATACGAACATGGTTAAATTGGGGCAAAGTTGCGCTTTAGAATGTTCACCACAATGTCAACAAAAAAGTCTAAAAAATTTCAAGGATTGCTGAGTTTTTTTGGAAAAAACCTATTTTTTTGAAAATCAATTTAATTTTTTCCTGCCGTTACTTTTTAGAAAATCAAAAAACTAATTGCACATTCTCAAAACCACTTTATTAGGGCTATCTGATAGTATTTTTAAATTTTCAAATTAGCTCATAGTTTGTGAGATACAGAGGCCAACTTACTTTTTTTAAATACGGACCTGCATTTTTTATTTCAGGTTTTGTAAAAACTCGGTCTCGTGAGTATAATGAAATGTCACATTTAATATTTGTTTGTTTCGGACATTTGAACACAATTTATTTAAACTAA